GCCTATTTGACTCTATCTGGAATTAACTAAACCCCAGGCATCTGGGCATAACTGTGGAGAATTTTTCTTTTTAAACAGGTAATGCACAATTTTACTCAGAATGTTTTTTCCTCACTATCTACTTGTTGGGTTTTTTCCTCATTAACAAATTAATTTATTTGCTTTATATCCTGATTAGTGAGGTTTTTTTTTCCCTGTATTGGGTTATTTGAAGTGGGAGACCCAACCTAAATCTGGGCCACACCTTCTGGTGGCAGTCCTCATAAAAGGACCAGGAAGAAGGAAGCTTTTGCTTTTTGTCTGCTTCTGCCACTCCCCCAGCAAGCTTATGTACCCTGATCACCTACTTCTCAATTACATCGGAGACTGAAGCCCCTCAGCTCTGTGGGACGGCTATGGGCACCAGGTTGGAACTTCTGATTCATTCAGTCTCGGGGCTCCCAGATTCTTATGAAATCATTTTATCAGTTCTGCTCCTTTAGAGAACACTGGCTAACACAGATATGGTACCAGAATAATTTGCTCTAAATTCCCTGGCAGGTGCGCATGTGCTTCTCGACACCGGCCAAAATGCTCTGTATTTGTGAATGAAAGATACACACACACACACACACACACACACACACACACTGGCTTAATTTTAATATGCCTTAATGCCTTAAACAGTGCAATGGCTGGGCACTTCCAAACCTCCCTGTGGCTAACATACCCTTCCCTCTGATATTCCTGAATTTTTTTAATTTAAATTTATATTTCTATCTCTGCTACCCCAGACCCAGTCTGAGACCATTCTTCCCCGACTCTTTCATGGCTGGTTTGCTGTCTTCCACAGCTCTCAAGCTTGCATCCTATTCCTTTCCTAGCATGATGATTCTAAAACCTTCTTCTTGTGGTTCCTTGCCTTGGGAAATCCAAAGTCCCACCTCTGTCTTCCTGCCCAGCCATTGGCCACCAGCAACTTTATTTACCAATTAGAGCCAACTGTGTCCAGGAACCCTCAGCATCTTACAGGCTGATGTGTAGATTCCCTTGTGATTTGGGGAGCTGAATGAACACATTTAACATTAGAACCAATACACAAGAAGTGGCTCTAGACTGAGAAACAGAACTGTAAAGCAGAATTTCTTAAGTATCTGGTACAGGCTTTGCAACTCAGCAAGACATGTAGTTACTGGTCATATGGAGAGCACTGAGAGCCCTTGGTTAGAAATATTTGAAGGCCTTGCTGCAGGGATAACAGAATTTAGTGACTCTATCTACAAATTTTGACAATTTGCAGAAAAATAAGAATGTTGTATCATTGCTTCTAGCATTTCTTGATAAATTGACAAAGGGAAAGAATACGTTTTGTGACAGATCTAACCAGCTTCTAGCATCTTAGGATACAGTCCAAAGCAAAAGAAAGAATTCAGTGAAATAACCAACAGGCTGCTGGGTGCTCAGAAACACCAGGATTCGGAGTAGGCCCTGGAAAGACTCCTCTCCAGCAGCCTCAGAGCTCAAGCTTTGGAAAATCAAACCCCAGTATAAGCTTGGCTGAATTACAATGAAAATTCAAGTCCCAGCCTCAGAGGGAGCCAGCAGTCAACATAAGGTCACTGAAGAAATGGGATGCTGTAACTCAGATGAAGGTATGTGGAAGGACCCCTTCTGGAGCCGAGGACTTTGAACCCTCGGATGCCGAAGGAAGCAATGTCTCCGCCCTCAGCTGAGGATGTATCTCCGTCTCTACGTCCTGCAGCATGGTCCTTTCCACCTTTGCCTGGGGAGCTAATCCTTTATCATCTTGGGAACAGAAGTGACTTTTCCCTAAAGGAGATGCCAAGAAGATAACACTGACATTTCCCAGGGCCCTCCAAAAGTTTCTTGCTTCACCTTAAATGTGATCATAGATCTAAAGGCAATTATTGAGGATAGGTAGAGAGTGTAGTCCATAGGTATGCTACACCACTAAAGAGCTTAGTGAATTTGTTCATTCAGCAGGAATCTGGGAAATATGTATGAGAATGGATTTTCAAAAGTGTGGGAATGTGGGGCTGGTGAGTTGGCTAAGCAGTTATGAGTCCTGATTGCTCTTCCAGAGGTCCTGAGTTCAATTCCCAGCAACCACATGGTGGCTCACAACCATCCATAAAGGGATCTGATGCCCTCTTCTGGCATCTGGATGTACAGACATCAGAGCACTCATACAATAAATATTTTTTTTTTTTTTTTGGTTTTGGTTTTTTGTGACAGGGTTTCTCTGTGTAGCCCTGGCTGTCCTGGAACTCACTCTGTAGACCAGGCTGGCCTCGAGCTCAGAAATCTGCCTGCCTCTGCCTCCCAAATACCGGGATTAAAGGCATACGCCACCACTGCCTGGCAATAAATAAATTTTTTAAAAAGTGTGGGAATGCATAATAATGTCTTTATCAGGCTGAGTTTATTGATATGGGCCCAGTGAGTAGAGAGTCTAGGTTTATCATGGAACCTTGCACAGTTAAAAACTGCTTTCCCCAGCCCTTCCCCAGAGGGACCTATGGCCTTTTTTAAACAAAGGTGACTCTACACTGGGGGAAAGGGAACAACCAGACTTTCCAGAATCTATGGAATACTGGTTCTGAATTCTGGGAGACCCCAAGAAGCATTATGGCATCCAGGTATTTGGGGCTTATGGAGGTCAGGTTATTAATGGAGTTTTGACTGAAGTCCATGAACTCATTCTGTAGTTATTTTCCCAGTTCCAGAATATTTAACAGGGATAGACAGACTTAGAAGTTGGCATTATTGTCGCATTAGTTCCCTGATCTGTGGAGTGAAAGCTATTATAGTTGGAAAGGCCAAATGGAAGCCACTGGAGTTGCCTCTACCAGGAAATACAGTGAATCAAAGACAACATCATATACTGGGAGGAATTACAGAAATCTGTGCCACCTTCAAGGACTTGAAAGATGTTACCATATCTTCCTGTAACTCTTCTATACGTCCAGTGCAGAAGACAGATCATGGAAAATGACAGTTGAGAATTGCAAACTCAATCAGGCAGTGACTTTGACTGTGGCTGCTGTACCAGATGTGCTGTCTTTACTTAAGCAGATTAACACATCTCCTGGTACATGGTATGCAGCTATTGATCTAACAAATGCCTTTTTCTTGGTGCCTGTCCTTAAGGACTACCAAAAGCAATTTGCTTTCAGTTGGCAAAGCTATCAGTATATCTTTATAGTTTTACTTCAAGGCTATATTACTCTCCAGCTCTGTGCCATAACTTTATTTGAAGGGTTCTGGGTCATGTGTTTCTTCCATAAAATATCACAGTGGTTCACTATATTGGCAATAGTACACTGCTTACCAAGTAAGCAGAAGGTAGCAATTACTTTGGACTTCTGGTCATGAAGTTCCCATTATGAACTGGGTATTAGCTGACCAACCAAACCATAAAAATAGGACATGCACAGCAGCAACTCATTATCAACTGAAGGTGACACACACACACACACATTAATATATATATATATATATATATATATATATATATATATATATATATAGAGAGAGAGAGAGAGAGAGAGATCAGGCCCAAGCAGGTCTTGAGGGCACAATCAAGTTACATGTAGAAGTTGCCTAAATGCCTATGGTTTCTGTTCCTGTTACAATGCTGTCTGCTCTCAAGCGGTTACCTGTAGCCTCATGAGGAGTGCATATGATCAGATAACTGAGGAATGTTTAGGCAGGTACCACCCAGAGGTGAAGAGCTATAGCATTTCAACCCCTTTCTGGGACAATTCTGAGAGACACTGGAAAAGAGAAATCTTCACAGTAAACAGAATTTTGGGCAGTACACTTGGCCACTTGTTTTGTTTATAAGGAGAAGTGGCCAGGTACACGATTGTTTACTGACTCATGGGCTGTAGCTAATAGACTGGCTGAATGGTCAGGGACTTGGAAAGAGCATGATTGGAAAATTGATGAGAAAGATATCTGGATTGGAAAATTGGTGATATAGACATCTGAGGACAAAGTGTGTGGCTAGATTTCTTTTAACCAGGATCATGCTATGTACCCCTGTCTGGTCTTAAGTCACCATGCTTCTGACTCAATCTCCAGAGAGCCAGAATCACAGGCATGTGCCACTAACACTCACTCTCTATCTGTCTGTCTGTCTGTCTGTCTGTGAGTGTGTGTGTATTTATTTATTTGGAGACAGGGTCTTATGTAGCCCAGGCTGGCCTCAAATTCAACTTTGTTATAGGGGCCTTGAACGTCTGTTCCTCCTGCCTACACTTCTGGTGTGCTAGAATTACAAGCTACATCACATGCCTCTTTATATGACAGTATAGAGTCAGCCAAGGGTTTCCTGTATGCCAGGCAAAAACTACTGAGTCATACACCCTTGCCAGTTAGCAGTAGTTTTTTGATGCAGCTCTGGTTGTTTCTGTAGAGCAAATTAGTCAGTTGACTAGATTGAAACACATGGGTGGGCTGGCGGTGGTGGCGCACACCTTTAATCCCAGCACTTGGGAGGCAGAGGCAGGTGGATTTCTGAGTTCGAGGCCAGCCAGGACTACACAGCGAAACCCTGTCTCGAGAAAAAACAAAAACAACAACAAAAAAGAAACACATGGGTGACTTTATAATTCGGAATGTAATGATCAGTTGCCTTCCAATGGGTTGTAAGCATTTATCTTCTTGCAAGAAGAGCTTGGGAATTCCACTTGCATATTTCTTTTATGTTTCGTTGAACAGAGTCACCAGAATGTGAGCATCTGGGTGACACGGATATCATGGACCTTGTGTTCAGTGTTGTTCATGGGCAGATATTTTGGTTGAATGAATGAACCACAGCAAATGAAGCCAGATTATGGAAGATGCCAGAGAGCAGAAAGGAAGATACACATGTTGTGTATTGAATGGGCAGCAATGTGGATGTTAGAGTCTCAGAGACAAGACCAGAGTCACTTGGTGTAGATGCTGGCTGGGATGGGGTAGAGGCTTGTGGCCAGTCTTTTCTTCTGGAAGTGTTAACGCTTTATACAGAGTCCTGGAAGAATTTCTTTCATGGAGTTGGCGAGGTCATCACACTCTCTGCTTACTTGGATGTCCTAAGAGAACATTGGGACATGGTTACTAGCCTTTCTGAGGATTTGATTCTTCTCATTTGCATTCCCACGTCTCAGAGAAGCTATTTCAGGTATTTTCTCTCTTGTGGATGACAATCTCATGACCTCCCTCCCCCAACTATTAGGATAGAAGAGTTCATATAGTTGCATATTTGATCTTCAGTTGGTTGAATTGTTTGGGAAAGGATTAGGAGATCTATTTTTTGGAAGAGGTGTGTCACTAGGGGATGGGGACTTGGGTTTTCAAAATCCCACACCATAACCAGTTAGCTCCCCTGCCTCATACTTGTGGACAGGATGTGAGCTCGCAGCAACTGCTCCAACGTCATGCCTGCCTACATGCTGGCATGCTCCCTGCCGTGATGCCATCACTCTCTCTCTCACTCTTTGAGACCCTAAGCCCAAAATTAAATATTTGCCTTTTATAAGTTGCCTTGGTTGTGGTGTTTTGTAATTAAGACAGGCGCATTCAGTTTCTTTCTCTGGCTTTCTTACATGAGGGTATGCTATTTGATAACTATATTTAATCTATGTGTAGCTTTCAATTCATCTTTGTTGTTTGCTTGTGTTTTGAGACAAGGTCTTGAGTAGTGTAGCCTGGCCTTAACCTCGAAATGTAGCTGGTGATAGCCTTGAACTTATTCTTAACTGTGCAGTTCTACACCTGCCTCCAAGTGCTAGAACTGAACCATAAAAAATTAAACTAACAGGCTGAAGAGACCAGTGGTGATGGAGTCTCATATAAGCACATTCCTCTTTCTTATTTTATTATGTGTATATGAGTTGTTTCATTGCATGTATGTCTGTTAACCACATCCATGTCTGGAAGAGGGCATTGGACCCCCTGGGGTTGGAGTTATGGATGGTTGTGAACCACCGTGTGTTAGGAATTGAACTTGGATCTTCTGGAAGACCAACAAGTGCTCTTATCTGCTGAGCCACTCTCTCCAGCTCTCAGTAAGCCTTTCTACAGTTTTATCATATTGTCCCATATTTCAAATTTTAAGTGGTTTTGTTTATATGTTTCTTGAGACAAGGCTCAAAATCTTTTAAAATATAAAATGAGGGAAGACTGGGGATGGCTGAGCAGGTTAGAGTGCTTGCTGCTTTCTCAGAGGACCTAAATTTGATTCTCAGCACCACATGGCGGTTTATAAGAGTTGGTAACTCCAGTTCTAGAAGATCTAGTGCCCTCTTCTGGCTTCTGGGCATCAGGCATGCAGACAGTGAACATACATACATACATACATACATACATACATACATACATGCAGGAAAAATATTCATAATAAAAGCAGATAAACCTAAAAAATTATATAATTGCTAATGGATATAGGATGTTACTATGTTGCCAAGACTTCTCTGGAGCAATCCCCTGCCTCATTCAGTAGGTAGGATTTAAAGGCGCACCTCACCACGTGCAGCGTTATCTCATGTTCATGGTAAGAGAAGGTGGGCATTGGTCTCACTTCACATAATGATAAAACTTTGACTAGATCCCTCAAAGCCGAAGTTAAAATCTAGGTTAGTCAGATTGACAGCAGGCAAAGAGTTAAGTATGAGGACCCAGGGGAAAACTCTACCTTGATAGCTGTGCCTCCTGCCAGTCAAAATGCCCTTTATGCTTGAACACCCTTACAGCTATAGTTAGGATGTCTCTACTATACCAGAAGTCCAGGTATCAGGGACTGCTCTCTCACACGTGCAGTAACAGAGAGTTTTAATCTTAAAGGTTGCATGTCATCATAATGTCACTTGCAGTGTGGCCTTGGCATGTACCCTTTTGTGAGCTTTTCTAGAGGATCTTGGTGTCTTAGTTACTTCTCCATGACTGTGAAGCAGCACCATGACCAAGGCAACTTATAAAGAAAACATTCCATTGGACCCCACATTTCCGGAGGCTTAGAGTCCATGACCATCAGGTGGAAATCATAGCAGCAGGCAGCCACGGGTGGTGCTGAGCACCACAAGCATTGGGTGGGAAGAGGAGGGGCAGGGAGAAGGAGAGGGGGGGAGAGGAGGGGGAGGGAGGGGGAAGGGGGAGGGGAAGGGAGAGGGAGAGGGAACACGCTAACTGAGAATAGTGAGTTTTTGAAATCTCAAAGCCCAGCCCCAGTGGCACACCTCAGCCACACCTCCTGATTCTTCCCAAACAGTTCCACTCTCATTCAAACTCATCACGTTCCACTCCCTGGCTCCCACAGGCTGTTGGCCATATTATGACACAAAATGCATTTAGCCCAACTTCAAAAGTTCCCACAATCTTTTAGTCTCAAGACTGATTAAAAGTCAGATGTGGTAGTCTGCCTTTAATCCCAGAACTTGGAGACAGAGGCAGGCAGATCTATATGAGTATACAAAAAAGTATACAAGACTAGCCTGGTATACATAGTGACTTCCAGGACAGCCAGGGATACATAGAGAGATTCCATCTCAAAATAAAATAAAATAAAATAAAATAAAATAAAATAAAATAAAATAAAATAAAATAAAATAAAACACTCCTTCAAAATCTGAAGTCTTTCAGAGACTCAAGGCAATCTCTTATTTGTAACCCCCTGTAAAATAAAATTTATATTATATATTTCCAACATACAATGGCACAGAGTTGGAGTGGCTTTCTGACACACATGCTGGAGTTGGAATGCCAAGTATATCAGACAGTGCATCTGGGCAGAACACTGTAACCGACTCTTCCCTCCTCCCTCCTCCCTCCCCCCCCCCCCCCCCCCTCCTCCCTCCTCCCTCCTCCCTCCTCCCGGGCATGTCAGTAGCTCACAGAGCCTCTGGCAGCTCCCTAATGACGCTAACAGAAGCTCTTACAGACACATCCAGTAGTTGTAGGGCAGACCATCTGTTGTTCCGGACAGACTTAAGGATGCCGACACAGCCGTCACAGCGAATAGGATTCTTGGAAATCTAAGGAAGATGCATATAGTATAACACTAGACTTTTTATGATAGCATTCACAGTCCCAGCACTCAGGAGGTAGGAGCAGGAGGATAGTTCCATACTAATTAAGTTAAGAGGCCAGTCTAGGGGCTGGAGAGATGGCTCAGTGGCTAAGAATACTGGTTTCTCTTCCAGAGGGCCTGACTTCAGTTCCCAGCATCTACATAGTGGCTTTCAGCTGTCTGTAAGACTAGTTTCAGGGGATCTGATACCTTCTTCTTGCCCCAAGGGCACCAGGCATAGACACAGGCACATAGACGCACATGCAAGCAAAACACTCATACATAAATAAATCTTAAAAAATTAAAACAAACAAAACACAAAAAAACAAAGGTGCTGGAGAGGTGGCCCAGCAGTTAGGACACAGGATCCAGGTTCAGAAACCTCATGGGGCAGCCCACTTGTAACTCTAGTTTCAGAGGATCTGACACCCTGTTACATCTATACCCTCAGACACACATACACATAAAATAAGTAAATGCTAAAAAAAAAAACTAAATTAAACTAAAAACAACAAAAAAGAAGGTTCATGGCAGGATGCGTTTTTGGTTGAGAAAAATTACCAGATATTGGGAGGGCTGGTGAACTATGTCTATAGGACCCAAGGAAATGATGAAGGAGGGTCTGGGAGGGAACTCTCTGAGATGTGGAGGACAGAAGGGTGAGCTCTGGGCCCTCTCTCTCCTTGGTCTACTCTAAGAAGGAGGGTAGTTCATCCATGTAGGATTCTGGGATTCACTATGACTTGGTGATTGGCTGAGACTGTGGACCCAAGCTAGAAATAGGTCTTGGTTCCAGTGTCACAGGAGGCGAAATTGCTAATGAGTGAAGAAGCTAGGAGAGGGAAGCCAAGGACCATGCAGAGTCAGGTGCACCCATCCCCCCATGTTGGAGTACTCCCCTATGTCTCAGTTCCCTGCCGCACACATGTTGGTACAGCTGAGACCTGCTTTGCCTCACCTGGCTCCTTCCCTTCTGTCTCTGCAATTACTGTGTCTAGGGTCCCCTCTCACCACCAGCAAACCTGAAGAAAGAAACCTCTGGATACAAAAGACATGTCTGAACTGTGGCCAGTCAGAACCTCCCAAACCCCATCCCCTGAGCTGATGCTGGGTTCTAGCAAGGACAGGAGTGTTACACGGAAGAAGATGAAAGTAAACTAAGGGGCTCTGCTGCCTGGCTTCCCCACAGTGGAGCTTCTGTGAGCCAGAGAAAGAACCACAAAGGGTTGTTACAACAGCTAGAAAAGAGTAGGAAAGAGGAACCAGAGGGGGAATGGGTCATGAGAAGCCAGGAGGGCCCTCCCAGAGAACTTCATCTGGACTCAGGAGCCCATGTGCTGTCTCTGCAGTGAGAGACTGGTGGGCGAAAGCACTGTGTGAGGAGACACAGGGACAGTCTGTACTGGAGCCTCCCCTACTAGGCTTGAACTTACAATAAGAATCCGCAGCGTCTGGTTGACTTGCAGACCCAACCCCAACTTCAGGGCTCCTGACATGGAGATTCGGTTGTTTCTGCAACAAGAGAGACATATGTATCATAGTTAAAACATGTAGCCAGCCTAGGTGCCCATTGAAGGATGGATGGATGGATGGATGGATCAAATGTACTGTGTACACTTAACAGAGTCTATTTCAGCCATGAAGGAGAAAGAAGCACGTGCCATTTGAAGCAAATGAATGGAACAGGAGGGCATTGTGTTAAGTGAAATAAGCCAGACCGAGAATGCCGGAGAACAAGCTTTCTCTCATACACAAACACTAACAGTAACAACAACAGCCTGGAAGATATACTCTAGCAATTCTTAGAGCTTGGGAAGGATACAAAGAGGAGAAAGGTAAAAATAAGTAAGTAAGTAAATACACACATACATCCATACATTCATACATACATACATACATACATACATACATACATACATACATAAGGGGGGCTACGTGGGGTCAGTGTGTTCTGCAGGCATGTATGAAGCTATCACATTTAGCCCTATTAACAATGTTGGAAAGGAAAATATGCCCATATTATGACTTTCCAGTTCACAAGCTCAATGCCTCAGAGCCACTGCTGGAGTTGCTGTTGCTTCTAGCAGCCTGGGTTTCCGAGCACAACTCTCCACTCATGCCCAGTCAACATCTCAAAGCTGTGTATGCTGTCCCATGGTGGCAAGCACACTTAGAGTGCCCTCCCCGCGGTGGGGAGGCGGTTTGTTCCTAGGCTTTCTGAGCTCAGAAGATACTCCCATGCGTTTTATGCCAGCTGGCCACACATATGAATCACCACAATAGTGCACACTCTGGATCCTGCTTCTCCTTCCCCCTCCAAATTTTTGTCTCTAGAGCCAGGCCTACATACCTACATCATGCTGACTCCTGCTCTCTACACCCCCACCTCAGACAGTATTATGTATTCCAGGCTAATCTGTAACTCCCTATAAAACTGAGGATGGCCTTAAACTTTTGATTTTTCTTGCTTCTACTTCCCTGGGTTTGCATGTGAGGAAGACACTGGGATTTGAGACTGGAAAAGCCACTGAGTGCTATTTGCACAGATTAGTAAGTGGCTCTTGAAGGGCTTAGAAAACAGCATGACTAAGGTAAGACCTTCTGTACTTCAGAGATAAAAGGGAAATTTTCTTTCAGGGTTAGCACCAGAAGCTGATCCAAGTCAGCCAGGCTACACCTCAAGCGGCAGAACTCGGCAGTGTCAGCAGTGGAGTTCAAGCAGTACTGGTTTTGAAGTCATGGTAGACGCGTGACTGAGGAGGCCTGCAGAGCCTCCCTTGCACCTTGTGCTCAGAGCCTTGGAATATTTGAAATGTCAGGACTTTGATGTCCACCAAGGAGAGATGCAAGTATTGTGTGGAGTCAACCTAGGAAGACAGATGTGTGCTGTAGATGGTTAAACTGAAGAGACAGGGCCGTCTAAGCCCTCTGGAGCTTAGTACATTATGAGTCTCAGATGCTGGCTATAGCCATAGGATTGCCTTTACACCGCTGGACTTTCCTTTTACTTAGCCGTGGTTGTTTTTAATTCCCCAGTTCTTCCCACTTGGAATAAGACTGTTTAAGTATGTAGCTTGCTTTTGATTTTATAGGAATCTAGTTACAGACTCTGGATTTTTAAATTGTTTTAAAATTTTTTTAAATTATGTTTGAGTGCAAGTACCTGCGGAGCTCAGAAGAAGCCAGAAGGTCCCTGGAAGCTGGCATTGCAGGGAATGTGAGTCATCTGGGTGCTGAGAACCAACTTGGGTCCTCTGAAAAAGCAGGGAATGCTCCAAAACCCGAAGTCATCTCTCCATCCCCAAGAGACTTAGGCTTTTAAGGAGACTTTGAACTTTTAAAGAGATCTTGGATGTTTAAAGTGTTGAGATTTTAAAAAATTATGTACCTGAGCATTTTGCACGCACCATATGTCTACCTGTTGCTCAGATCAGAAGAGAGCTTCAGATCCCCTGGAACTAGAGTTATGGATTATTGTGAGCTACCATACAGCTTCTGGGCCCTTTGCAAGAGCAACAAATCCTCCTAACCACATAGCCATCTCGCCAGCTCCTGGAGTATTAGAATTTTTTCTTTTGTTTTTTTGTTTTTTTTTTTCTGAGACAGGGTTTCTCTGTGTAGCCCTGGCTGTCCTGGAACTCACGCTGTAGATCAGGCTAGCCTCGAACTCTCGAGGTCAGAGATCCGGCTGCCTCTGCCTCCCAAGTGCTGAGATCAAAGGCGTGCGCCACCACCGCCTGGCTGGAATATTAGAATTTTTAAAGACTACATTTTACATTGCAAAGTAAATATGAGGCCTTGGGGACCAAGGATGGAAAATGATAGCTTAAAGTGTTTGCGTGTCAAGTTAAATGATGGATTGATTGTACCAGTCAGTTTTTATTATCAGTTTGTCACAATCGGGTTGCCTGGGAGGAGTCATCTCGATTGGCCTGGCCTGCCGCTCGCCTTTGAGGTTGTCTTGATGGTTAATGTAGGAAAAAACTAACCCTGAATGTGGGCAGCGCAGCAAATGAACTGTCCAACGGGAGAAAGCTGTGGAGACAGCGGTGAGCAGCAGATGGAGCAGCCCTGCTGTGGAGACAGCCCTGCCCTTGACTGTGCTTGTGATGAGATTCTCTGAAATGCCAACCATAACCCGTGTTGTAAGCTGATTAAACTGGTTCTCTAAAGCTCTTTCTAAGAAGATCAGTGTTTCACCACACCAACAGAAATGAAACCAGGAGTAAGATACTAGTCCTAGAAGACTCAGGCAGCTGAACTGCATCCAAAGCCCCCAAGCAACAATCTTGAGAGAGAAGGACAGAACTGAGTGCTGTAGGATTGAGGTTCAGGCCATACGATGCATTGTGGACAGCAGTCAGATCACTGCATGTAGCCTAAGGGGGGGAGGGGGGGGCACGACTCCAATGCGCATGCGCACGCGCACAGCAACAACCCTTGTTCCTCACCTCATATTTAGTTCTTCTAACACATTGTTGGCCTTGAGGGCCTCACCTATCGCACAGGCACCAGAGTCTCCAAAGCCGTTATGAGAGATGTCTAGGACCTTCAAGAATATATTTGCCTAGAACACAAAGAGCAAAGACATGAGCAGAAAGCAACAGGGCCAGGGCCACAGCGTCAGAGCCCGAGAGAGTCTGAGCAATGACTAAGGACACAGAGCAGAAGTCCTGAAACACGAAGAACTCTCAGGCCAAACAACTTGAAGATCAGCAGAAGATGACGGGTCGGCTGTGCATACTTCTCTGAGATGAGATGCAGAGATCAGATCCTCACCTATGGAAAAATGCCCAGGGCAGGCATCCTGGGGCACAGCGGCAGCATGGGCCCATTGACTTGGTGGCCGGGTGCTATATGGAGCCTGTGATGAGGTCAAGAGTAAGTGTTCTGACCTGCCACCTTCTGGGGCAGGAACCCCAGCAGTCAGGCCCTGTAAGAGGGGAAGGTAGCGGCTGTCATTTCCTAAGGCCCTTGTCACTGGGGACAATGAAGATGCCTCATGAAACCCTGTCAGGGTTTGATCAAAACATTTCCAAGGTCTGTAAACTTGTAGGGAGGCAATGAGAGAGATGTAGAAAAGCACTGGCATGTGCGAACAGTGATGTCACCAGATGGCACGGATGTCCCCTACAGATGAATGTGATTTCAGGAGGAGGCAGCTGACATTTATCTGTGAACCCCTTAGGAAATGGCATGCGAGTCAGTGCAGTGTATTAAATGGGGACAGGAAAACAGGTCATCAAAGATGCACATGTAAGTCGTGCTGAAAGGGGTAAGGTTCATTTCCAGAGTTATAACATCAAGAACTGGCTCAGAGGAAACTTCCCAAAGGACAGGCAGGCCTCACTGGGCAAGTGTCTCATACCTCCAGGCCTCTGGCAAACGCAATGGCTCCCAGGCCTCGAAGGTGATTCCAACTCAGGTTAAGCTCTGTGAGTCCTGTGTTTTCTGCCACGGCAGGTCCAAGTGTCTCTCCTGAGGAGCACCAAGAGATTTTATAGCAACAAACAAACAAAAAAGCAAACAAGCAAGAAAGCAAGCCCACCACCATCCGCGTGTGATTGGGAAGATATGAATTTAAACTAGATTCCAGCTATTCTAATCTACAAACAAAAAAGGGTAGTGATGCAGTGGTCCAGTTAGTGGGGTCTGGAAGTAAGGATAGAACAGGTAACTTAGAATCAAGAGATCCACATGTATCCACACATGGTGGAGAGAGAAAAGCAGCTGTGCCGATGCTGGAGCTAGGGAGAGGCAGGAGTAAGCAGGTGCACCGAGACAGGAAGGGACGCTTGAGGGAGTCCTCGATGCTAAGCCAAGAGCTCAGGTGTGGCACTCCGTGTGGTTGAGGGCAGGCTATAAGTCCCCGCCCCCAACTGGCTGAGCACCCCAGCAAGATTCCTATTGGCTAGTGAGCACCAGCAGCGACAGCCCTCCCAGTCAGGAGCTGTTACAGGAAGTGGGTGGAGCCATGGCAGACTCCTAGCACTTATCTTGGGCAGGGGACCCTCAGCCAGCTTTCTATCCAGTTAGCGCTGGTGGGTGTGACTTGCTGCCAGTTCTCCACAGCCGCAGCTCCATCCACGACCCACTCTGGTCTTCCATGTTGGTACCCTGTTATCCACCTGGCCAGCCATGTCTCAGCCTCATAACCTGGGTTTATAGACTTTGTCCCAGCTGGGTGGCACCCTCAGAAGCCATGTTTACTGTTGCTCCACCTTCCCATACTAATGTAGCTTTGTGACCCCTAAGGCCTCCCCAACTCTGAATTCAGTCTGCCTGGTTGATCTCTGTAGCCAGAGTAGAGTCCCTTGGGAATAAAATTTGGCCTCTTCTAATTATCTTGGCTGCTAGAGAAGAAAAGCTGGTTTGAAGTGCTCAGAAGGGCGAGGTATGGCGGTCCACTCCTGTTATCCAAGCATACAGAAGGCTGAGGCAGAAGGATCCTTAGTTCAAAGAGAATAGCCAACCTGAATGCCATAGTGAATTCCAAGCTATCCTGGGCAGCATAGTGAGAACTTGTCTTGAAAACCAAACCAAATTGAACTAGATCAAACTAAGGAAAGATGTTTGTCTGTGTGCGTGTGCACATGTGTGTGTGCATGCATGTGCATCTGTATGTGTGTGCATATGTGTGCACATGCATGTCTCTGTGTGTGTGCGCGCGCGCATGTGTGTACATCTCTGTGAGCATGTGCATGTGTGTGCGGATGTGCATGTGTGTGTGCATACATGTGCATCTGTATGTGTGTATATGTGTGCACATGCATGTCTCTGTGTGTGTGTGCGCGTGCATGTGTGTGCATCTCTGTGAGCATGTGCATGTGTGTGCGGATGTGAATGTGTGTGTGCATACATGTGCATCTGTATGTGTGTGCATATGTGTGCACATGCATCTCTCTCTCTCTCTCTCTCTCTCTCTCTCTCTCTCTCTCTGTGTGTTTGTGTGTGTGTGTGTGTGTGTGTAGACAGAGTGCTTCCAGCCACCTGCTTGGCAGCACAAACAGCAGCAGACGTATTAGTACAGCAACCGACACCTCTAGGTTCTCAGACACCGGAGCACACACCTTGCCTGGGCACTGTTAAAGCTGGGAGAGGATAGCAGGTGTCCTCTAGTCCCTTTTTTTTCTACTGGTCTGTAATGGCAGCACTTTACCTCTGTGACCCACCCATCAAGCATCCTGTGAGGCCCACACCTGAGGTAGGCTCTCCACTGGCACAGGTCGTGGGTGATTGAGGCTTAAACCCCTTCACTGCTCAGATTACTACCTCAGATCCCCACTTGGAGAAACAAAGTAGATGGAGCCTACCTGTCCTCCCCTGTGTAGTGTTATAGGACTTCAGATTCTATCCCTCTATTCCCACCGCCTCTGTGCCACTTGCCTGCTCTAGTTTGTAACTTATGTAATAAGCCACCCGAAAGGCCCTCCAGCGCTGTAAAGCCTTGCTCCCTGCAGTTGCAGAGATGACTCATGCTCCCTGGGCTGCCCAGGTAGCTGCTCCTGCAGAGGATCCAGGCTTGATGCCCAGCACCCATATGTCTGCTAGCAGCTGACAGCGGAATGTAACTTCAGTTTCAGTGGATGTGGTGCCCTCTTCTGGCCTCTGTGGGAACTGACACATGTAGTACACAGACATATGTGCAGGCAAACACTCATACACATGAAACAAAATAAAGTCTTTTCGAAAAAGCTTGGTCCTCAATGTTGGGATGCAGCAGATGAAAATATCTAAAGGTCTTAGGGCACTGGGGTCCCCTCAAGAGATCATGTGACCCCAGTCTCTTCCCTTTCGCCAGCTGAGTGTCTCTTCTCTAATGTTGGCTCAGCCACAGGCCAAACCATCAAAAACAGAATTCTCCAAAACTATGAGGCCCAAATGCATTATTTTCCTTTATAAGATGGTTGCCTGCAACATTCATTACAGTAGCAGCAAGCTGGCTGCTTAGTTCTCAAGTCCCAGAGACATAGCCACTGTTAGTCAGAACTGACATGAGCTGCTTCTTTACTTCCACGGACTTCCCACATTGACTTTCTTATAAGACAATTGGCTTTAGCAGGTAAACTCCAGAGCCAGGGTTAGCACTGCTCCACATGATTGTCTAACCAGTTTGGGACAGACCAGAAATTCCAAAACTCCTGCTTAGACAGTTTTCCTGGCATGTCCATTGCAGTGCAGATACATTGGGCATCTAAGAATTCTTTCCAGATGCTGAAGAAGTGTCTGAGAAGCTATGAGCACCAGCTGCTCCTCGAGAGAACCTGAGTTCAGTTCCCAGCACCCACATTCGCTGGCTCATGGCCATCTGCTACTCCTAGTGCATAGGATGGTATGTCCTAGCCTCCACAGGTACCCACACATATGTCACACATACACACACACACACACACACACACACACACACGTAAAAAGAAGAATTTGCTTCATCTGATCCATGACCCAAGTGACCCTTTTATGTTACCAGACTGCCCCAAGTCTCTAGGCTCAACTGACCTTCCATGTAGTTGAGCTTACAGGTATGCCTAGCTCTGGATTATATGGCTGATTGGCACGTTTAGACATGCGTGACATAGGTGGATATTTATATTCCTAGCAAAGCATCCAGCCCATGCAGAGGTGCTGGGGAGACAATGACTGGGTCAAGGTAGCCTTCCCATGTCTTTCCTAGCACTTAGCTCCTTACCACCCAGTGCTAGTGACTGAACACGAGATCTCACACACACAGGACAGGTACCTTACCACTGAGATCTACTACAAGCCCTTTTGCAAAAGCACTTGGGATGAAATCTCCATATCTTCTGCCATAATCTGTAGACATATGATTTCTGCTTCCTTTGCAAAGCATTGCCTGGTCACTCTCCCCTAGATCATCAGCCCAACCACAGTGGTGTCTACCAATCTAGGAAACAGACCTGCATGATCTGTTCATCACCTTCATGATCTTGCCATGGCTGACTCCTTTCTACCCAAGGCACAGATTTCTGTTTAAACATCTCCCCCTCCATAGCAGGTGGGTCCATTCTTTTCTAGAATCATACATTGTTTCTTTAGGAAGGTCACTAATTATTGAGAATGGTCTTGTTAGTGTATAAAGTCAGGAACTTTGTTTTGTTCATAGATAGATCCCCACAGCTGAGGGCAGTGAGATATGCCTGGTATTAATTGAATTCTATGGCTGGAGTGGAAGAACAGCCAATGGAGATATGGTGAGCAGAAGCCAGCACATAGATATTCTCAGGCAGAAGCTAGGCGCAGTCCTGTCCATTCCCCTCCCCTGCCACCAGGGGGCAATAAGTACTCATGACCCATGACTGCCCAGTCCTTGTTACCTGCCAGGTCATTGAGCTGATTATAGCTGAGGTCTAGAGATTTCAGTCCCGTGTGACACAGCAGAAGAGCAGCGAGGTGCTGGGCTGCCTGTTCCTCCAGCCTGTTCCCTTGCAGCTGGATCTTCTGAACAGTTGGGTTTAAGGCAAGGGCAGTGCAGATCGCTTGGAGCCCTGCAGCTCCAAACTGATTCTCTGACAGGTCCACATCTGAGGGCAGCAGCACTGCCTGGTCAGTGGGACCCACAGCCAGGCCCCACCCTATTGTACTTCCCTACTTCTCACAAACCTCCAAGCCTGAGGGAAAGGAGGGCCTTTGCAATCTGATTTATCTGGGGGGCAGCATGGTGACAGCTTTGCCACCCATTGGCTGGGTCATCTTGGGTCTATGGTCTCCACATCCCATGACTGTCTGTGAAGAATGCTGTGGTAGCAGGTTAGCTGCTCTGTGATGGTGGATGTAACAGCATAACCTCCTGTCTGTCCTATTGCTAGGGACTGGCGGTGTAAGCTCAGATGTCCACTGGGGTCCACTTCCATCGTTTCCTTTGATGCCTGCCACAGCCCAGAGAGCAAAGTAGTGCTTCCCTGATCACTTTACAAGCTGAAAACAGGCTCAGCGATTACGCTGCCTTCCTGGGTCAGCGTATGCTTCACTGGTAGAGCTGGAAGCAGCCTCACCCAGCCCCCACCTTGCCCTTCCAGTTCTCCCTCATGCAGCTCCTCCTTCCTTGTGCTCTCCCGCTCTGCACTCAGGCACTGGGAGTCTACCACATGCATGGAGGGAAGGGTGCTCACCCTCGTGGAGGGAGAGGACAGTGAAAGCAAGGGAAGGGGTCAGTTCAAAGAGCAGTTCGCCATTGGCTAACTGCCCGGCAAGGCAGACTCAGTCCACACTTCTTCCCCTTCTGTGATGAGGACCATCCTCATCTCCTAGCAACACCCCAAGAAGGAAGGCCTGGAGAGGGAGCCACTTCCCCCAGGAAAGAGGGACCCCAAGCTTGCCTGCTTCTCAGACTCAGAAATCCAGCACTACTCACCAGAGATAATGCTGTTCTTACGCAGGACATCAGCCAAAGCCTCTGCTCCAGCAGCACAGAGCCCATTGTCCCGAAGATCCAGACGCTTGATGTACAGATTAGAGGTCAACACGGAAGCCAAAGCCCGGGCCCCCTGGAACAGAGCAGAGAGGCACAAGAGGCAGAGAAACACAGCGGCCTGAGGGGCCTGGTCCTTCCCTGAGCTGAGATACAGCTGGTCATAATTTCAGTTTAAGTCCCCAGAGCTCCCACCTCCTCCAGGGAACATGAGCTTCTCCCTCTAAGTGCCACCTGATGTCACTTCCTGTAGCCTTCCTACAGTCCCCCCTCACCTCTGTCACAGCCTCCACCCTGTCTCACAGGCTTGGGGGATGAGTGTCTGAGACAGAATCAAGGACAAGATGGCCACTATCTCCTACATCCTTCCTGCCAAGTGTGGTTCCAGTGTCCCTCAACAGATACCTGGGGCCCCAGGCCACGGTGCCGAAGGTTCAATTTGGAGGCACTCCCTTGGCGCAGAAGACGAGAAACAGGCACAACACTGTTGGCCTGGCAAGACTCCAGATAGAGGGTAGCCATGCCTGGTTCTCCAAGTCCATGAGTGCCTAGCAGTAGATGGGAGACAAAGAAGGAACTAATCACTGGCATAGCCTTGACCCTTTAATCACTGGCATAGCCTTGACCCTTTCCTGCCCTTGCCATTTCTTCCTGCACTGGCTACTGTGCGCGTATTCCAGATGAGGACCTCCAGGCTAAAAATAAAATAAGGCTTTTCTCAAAGCCACCAAGCTAGTCAGGGAGCATTTACCTAATGCTGAGATGTTTGCTGGCCTCACCCAACTGTGTCCAGGTATCACAGATCACCCCACCCCACACACCATCACCACCACCACCGAAGTCAGGCTCCAGCTTGCTAGTTAAGGATAGCCTTGAACTCAAGGCTTCAACCAAGCTAAGCACTCTACAGACTGAGCTATATTCTCAGCCCGCAGGCCATGTCTATATAAACATCTTGGGAGCAGGGGCTGGAAACAATTCTAAATTCAATATAACCATTAGCAAAGTTCTTCCTATAGGTTGTAACACCCAGCCATGAATTCTTCCAGTTTGAGACACAACTGCCTGCCAGGGTGTTTCATTTACAGGTTTTCTAGAAGACAGTTCTAAATGTTGGGCTTCCTCATTCCTCCAGGAGGGCAAGAACTTGAGGGATATCAGGGGTATCATCCCACTGGGGAATGCGACCCCACAGAAGGGTGGGTTCCATTCCAGCCACCCTCTCACCACTTTTACAGGCGGATCCTCAAGTGAGGAGTCCAACCAGGACCCCATGCGGAGGATGAGGCACCTTCTGTTTCCAGAGCAGAGTGTGAATCTGCAGTCCAGGGCTTCTTGGCCTCCAGGGTCTCTGCCTGAGGCCCAGTGGCTGCAGTTTCTCCCTCTTGATCTTCATTCTTCTTAACTTCCTCACAGAGACCCTTCATGTTTACTCTCACTACTTAGTCCGAGACACAGCCGCCTAGAGCACACAGCTCACCGCCTGGAACTCTTCCCAGAGATATGGGCAGTTCCTCTGGCCTTCTTGACCAGTTGAATCTGATCTACGGACAATGAGTGGTCTCTAGGGCCACTCCCTCCCACCCCACAGTTGTCCTGGGAACTGGGTTTTGTTTGCAGAAGAAACACAACCTTGGCAAGCTCTTTCCCAGGGCTGACTACCGCACATACTGCTGCCATACACAGGGGTAGCCACCTCCTTCATGTTCGTTTCACAGACTTTTTTAGTCTGACCCCAGAGCTAGTGTTTTAGTTACTGTGCTTGGAGCAGGAGACAACTCTAGGGAAGACCTGAAGCCTAGCAATAGTTTTTCTCTGGGACCACAGCTATTCGGTCACTGCCTGAGGGTCTCAGCTTTCTCTCAAGATCTAGCCGTTGTACTTGTACTTGTTGTTGGGTACAACAAGTACCCAACTTGTACTCTTGGAATTTGCAAGTTTGAGTTCAGAGCCCCTTCTCTGGGCTTCTGTTATCCCGTATTGACTGCCCACCGTATAAGAAAGCAGAGTGGGTAGGGACAGGTCTCTTTCTCTCTGTATGTGTAAGGTCCAACCCAGAGACTATGGACGGGAGGGAGGGTACATGAGCTGGGGTTTGGGTCTGAGGCAGGAGCCAGATCCTACTGAATTAGAGATGTCCCTTTAACAACACTGGCCTGAGTCCCGTGCATGGCTGCTTGGCCTCCATTTCAGCTGCGGCTGAAGCTGCCTGCTGACTCATGTAGTTGTAGCCAGCAGGAACTGGGAACATGGCTTCTGCAGCCGCAACAGCACTCGTGAGCTGGGGGTTTCTGGATTACAAGACAGAGAAATATGTGATGACTAGGAACTGTCGGGTGGGCATCTCCCAGAGGCTGCTGCAGCTGGGAGTGCTAGCCTACGTGATAGGGTAAGAACTGCCCCTGACCAGGCTGCAGAGACTGGTGTGTGGGGGTCTTGCTGGGCGAGGGCTAAAAGTTGGCTTTTTAGAACCCCAGCTGGTGGGAAAGTGCGAAGCGGGGTGAGAGGTAGTCAGAAGGGATTTTCATCATTTAGAGGGCAGCAGAAGCCATGCGCCCACATAAGGGGCTTTGTCTTCAGCTTCATCTTGGTCTCTGTGAGTCTGCAGTTCGGCCGAGGCACCTGGATGTGGCAGGAGGCAGTAATTCTCTGAGCAACACAGCACTAAGCCACTCGGAGACCATCAGAGGGATGTCTGAAGTCTTTGAGGAGGGGGCTGGGTTTGCTGAGTGTGTGAAGGCTGTGAAAAGTGGCCATGGTGGACAGGTCCATCTGAGAGCTCCACCTGTTCATGGGTTAGAGCAAGTGGCACAGCTAGACAGAGGGTGGAGGCCCTCACTGTTGGTCTGGGAGCCTAGTGTGTGGGCACAGCTACACCTCATCTGGATATTCTACTGTTCATCATCCTCTCCCTAGGTGGGCCCTCTTGGCCAAAAAAGGCTACCAGGAATGGGACATAGACCCCCAGATTTCGGTCATCACCAAACTCAAGGGGGTTTCTGTAACCCAGGTTACAGAGCTGGAGAGCCGGCTGTGGGATGTGGCTGACTTTGTGAAGCCATCACAGGTAGGTTCCAGTGCTGCTGCAGGAGGCCAGAGTCCTTCAGCCACCACCAGCAGCCGCACAGCTGCTGTGCATGACAGACGTAGGAGCCAGAGGGTGGGTGAAGGGTCTGGGAAGGGGCCGCTCAGAAGGGTCCTGAGTCAATCTGAGGAAACAGCTTTCAGGGATGTTTAGCTTCCCAAGCCAGTGCCTGCGGAACTTCCTTTAAAAGGAAGGTTAGAGATGCAGCCCGGCGGCAGAGGGCTTGCCTGGCATGTAGAACTTCCTAGCTTCAATGCTAGTATGACAAAACAAACAAAAACAAAAATACCACCCACCCCACCCCACCCACTACCCACACAGAGATATATCTGAGAAGGAATGAAGTGTCTTAGGCTCTCGGTTTATGCTCAGAAGTGAAAGGCAGAGGCTGGGGGCTCAGGCTTGAGCTTTCTGAAGTCCCCTGTTATCATTTAGGGATCTTGGGTCAAGTTCATTTTTTCCATTGGTGAAAGAATTAAAAGTCAAAGGCTGGAGAGATGGCTCAGTTGTTGAGAGCACTGGCTGCTCTTGCAGAGAATACAGGTTCTGTTCCTGGAACCCTGGACCGGGCGGTGGTGGCGCATGCCTTTAATCCCAGCACTTGGGAGGCAGAGGCAGGTGGATTTCTGAGTTCGAGGCCAGCCTGGTCTACAGAGTGAGTTCCAGGACAGCCAGGGCTACACAGAGAAAGCCTGTCTCGGAACCCCCCCCCCAAAAAAAACAACTGTTCAGCTGGTGGTGGCACATGCCTGTAATCCCAGCACTGGGAAGGCAGATACAGGTAGAGCTCTGAATTTTAAGGCCAGCCTGGTCTACACAGCAAGTTCCAGGACAGGCAAGGCTACACAGAAAAACCCTGTCTCCAAACAAAGCAAAGCTTAAAAAACAAACAAACAAACAACAAACGTACTCAAAACTGGAATGGAAAGGCATGAAATAAGCCATAGTCACAGTAAGTACACGTCTTATTAAGAGTAAGAGTGCATACATCCCACACACAAAGAGACAGGCTTCCCACCAGAGGGAGGGAAATTCAGAAACCAATTGGAGGACTGCTGGTTTTAAATATCTGTGGTGGGATAGGATGGATGCCTCTGTCCCTGAATTTTGGACTATCAGCTTAAAAGAAAAAGCTGATAGGTCCAGAGGTTCATGCAAGCTGAGACAAGCTCCAGACCAGCTTTGAACATAACTAGACTGGTCTAGACCATTCATCCAGATGGGGACCTTTCTGTCAGGAAAAAAAAAAAAGTTCATCAAGCCTTTGTCTTGGAAAGAGGTAATGCGGAAGCGGCTGGGGGTGGGTGTCCTGTGGTTTATGCACTGCCCCTTTCCCTATCTTTGCCTGTCACAGTACAATCTGACTCCTTTCACCCACAGCACTCACATGCCCCTGCTTGTTCCTCTTAGGGAACATCTTCTCTTCTCCTCCCACCTAGATGATTTAGCCCCAATTACCAGGGGTTGTATGACATTTCCAGAGGAGACATAAGCAAATGTCTGTATACCCCAGATAGGACACAAACAGTAAACCAATTCCATTCCAAATTAGTTCTGTGACTCACTGACTAATTGTGGTTCCCTGTAGGCATAACTGAGGGGTACATACCGGAGCATGGTGTGACTCAGGCAGCTACACCACCTGTTGGCTCCAGGTGGCGGCAGCTTTCTGTGGGAGTGCATGTGGGCACACACACACACACACACACACACACACATATGCATGCGCACACATGTGCACACACGCACACCAGTGCTAGTGCTGTTCTACCTATGATCAGCAGGCTCTCTGTCCCCACTTTGGGTTGAGTGCATGAGAATTTGAAATGAAACTTGTATGGAAGATATAGACAGAGCCTGTCACTCTCTGGTTCAGAAGAGGCCGTAACCCTAGCCAGCTCCACTCGCCTCGCCGCCGCCGGACACTGCTTTCTGCAGGACAAAGTTGGTAAGGGCCAAGAACTATTCCCACAAAATCCAGGCTACCTAGGCTGGGCTATACCTCTGAGTTCCATTCCCAGCATTGACAGCAACAGAAAGCAAACAAATCAGGCCATCAGCGTCTAGCCTCTCAGCTAAGGTCAACCTCCAGCCTTGCCTTCTAGGGAGAGAACGTGTTCTTCCTGGTAACCAACTTCCTTGTGACACCAGCTCAAGTCCAGGGCAGATGTCCAGAGGTAAGTTTGTCCAGAGTCTCTAATACACCCCTATTTCTCTTATCAGCCCTGTCCCCTTCACATAGCTCAAAGCTCAGCCCCAACTTGGTATGTCTATTTCAGGAAAAGGGCTACATTTTTCTAGAAGTCATTTCACCAAGTCTTTACATCCGCTGTCCACCAGGAATATTTAACTCCCCTTAAACAGATGATTAAGGCTCCACACGTTCAGTCACATGCCCAAGGGTAACCCAGGTATGAGTTACAGGCACAGTATCTGAGGACACCCCTTGGGGTCTCCAACCTTCACAATACCAGACCTCTGAATGGGACAGTTTCATTGAAATGTCCACTGTCTTTTCCATGCTGGTCCTGCCTCTGGGTTACAGCCAGGCATACACTCACCTGAGCGTTAATGGCAAGAGGCAAGCTGGAAGATCACTTCTCCTCTTTGCCAGCTTTTATTAGTGCATTAGTCCAGTGTCATCTGAGGAACAAACTAGCACACTCTGCTTTGCCTTCGGGCGATATATGATCTCTGGGTGTTCCTGTTTTGTCCTTCTCCCCCATTCTTACATTCTCATGCAGCCATGGGGGCACCCACACATCCACTCCCAATCTCACCTGTTCCCCTTGTCAGGGAATATTCCAGACAATCTTTCAGAGAGCACATTAGCTCTCACCAACCAGGATTTCTGTGTGAACAGTTAGGATCCATCTCATATGCATGCACCACATTCAACACCAACCTCTGCTCAGCTGGACTTTAGGCTCTGGTATTTGGTCACATCACAGTTACAGGGACTGTCACTTGTCCATGGTTGATGCTTATCCACAGAGGAGGTGACATATGTGTACAAAGGATGATTCTCCCTCAGGGAGCCTAGACAATATTCACACTTTTAGAAGCATGCAGACAGCTCTAAAATGTCACCAAACCTTCATGTCAACTTCTTAGAAAGCATATGGTCCTCCCTCTTTCCCTGACTGAGGCTCTTGATCCTTCTTGTGAACTTCCAGTAACTGGGCAGTTGCTCACCAGACCTGATGACCAGGTTTCCTGAGAATAAGCAGAGTTCTTGCCCAATCTTCTTGGAAGATTAGTGACCTGGCTTCTCCAAGCACATGCTCATCCCAAGTGTCATATCCCTCTGCACACCTTTCTTGACACCTACTCTCCATGCCAGGCATCTAGGATAGGCCCTGTGCTGTGCTGGCAGAACTCCAACCCCCTGTACCTCAAGTTGCAGTTATTGTCCAGCCAAGGCAGCAGGCTCCATGATCCTCACACAGGGCAGAGGCCACAGTGGGGAGACTCAGGAAATGCAAGGACTAAATCTTTTTTTTTTTTTTTTCCGAGACAGGGTTTCTCTGTTTAGTCCTGGCTGTCCTGGAACTCACTCTGTAGACCAGGCTGGCCTCGAACTCAGAAATCCGCCTGCCTCTGCCTCCCAAGTGCTGGGATTAAAGGCGTGCGCCACCACCACCCGGCTAAAGGACTAAATCTTAAAGGAGCTGGTGATATGATCAGTGTGGCTGCAGCCAGATGCTAAGGCAGCAGGAGCCCATGTTTAAGGGGATGAGGTGTCTCAGGATACATTCCTGTTGCTCAGTGTGGCTGGAGACCAGATCTGGGCTAGGTTATAGAAAGGACAACCCAAAATCCCATGGACCCTCTGAGTCCTGCTAAGAACCTGGACTTGGTGGATGAGCCAGAGTGAGTACACGGAAGAGATCCTTGGCCTCTCATCTTTTGGGCTGCTGCATAGAGGTGCCCACCTCTCATCACAGAGTCTGAGAGGAGTCTGAAGGGTTTGGAGACATAGACACAGGTTGGGACAACAGACCAGAGAAGGTGGCTGTCCTCCGACCTTGGCATTGGATCATAGCTTCACAAAAGTCCTAAGTCTCCTTATGGCTTTTCAATCCCTCAGCCATTCTTGCTTCCATGGTGTTATGGTCCTCCCAGAGGGCCCTGAAGCTCAAGGCTGCTTCCTCTCTTGGGTCAGAGACCCCCAGGAAGCTCACCTACCTTTCCCTTGTAGAGCTCCCCCATGACTCTTTGGCCTTATGTAGTCACAATGTCCATGTTTGGCAGAAAAGGCTTTCTACCCTGTATAGGTCCCTATGACCTTAGGCCCTGCTCTTTGATAGCTACACCACACATACTGAGTGTCACCAGTTTGTCCTTCTATGGTTCTTTAGCACCCCACCCCTGCTCTGTTATTCCAGCTAGACAGAAGAGCTGGACCTCAGTGACCTATCACGGGCAGGACTGTCAGGAGAGCGGGGCTCTGCTCTGGGCACATAGTTCTGTACTACCATTTCACCATGTTGCTGATGGCTCTTCTCTCCCTGGTTGTAGTTTGTACCTTCCCTATGCGTCCAGACCCAGGCTACCCTGGAGGAAGCTGAGGTTCTTGTCTTTGCAATCTGTGATGCTGAGTCTGTGCTATTGGTGACAAGGGTCTCTCTTACCTTCCTCAGCATCCTTCCGTTCCTCTGGCTAACTGCTGGGCTGATGAAGACTGTCCTGAAGGGGAGACAGGGACATACAGCCATGGTAACTGTGGGTTTGGACCTTTTGTGCCTCTGCTAGAATGTGGGAAGGGGAGGGAATACTGAGGTCCCGAATGCAGGCCCTGGTGAACTTGTCTGTGCTTCATCCCATTCTGCTGACAAGCCCATACCCCGCGACATCCTCAGGACCCATGGAGATCTGAGGCCTTGACGCTCATGTTGTGTTTTCAAGGCACAAAGACTGGTCAGTGTGTAGTGTTCAATGGAACCCACAGGACCTGTGAGATCTGGAGCTGGTGCCCAGTGGAGAGTGGTGCTGTGCCCAGGTAAGTCTCCTCTCTCTCCCAGGACAGGGTCCCATTATAAGCAAAATGATGCCAGTATTCTATCTATCTTCAGGAAGCCCCTGCTAGTTCAGGCCAAGAACTTCACACTCTTCATCAAAAATACTGTAACCTTCAGCAAATTCAACTTCTCCAGGTAGCAGGGGCAGGTCTTGGTTGAGCCCAGTTCCCTCATGCCTCCTGAGTCATCTGAATGTTATCAATGTCTTTTCTAGAACCAATGCCTTAGATACCTGGGACAACACCTATTTCAAGCATTGTCTCTATGATCCACTCTCCAGTCCGTACTGCCCAGTGTTCCGCATCGGGGACCTTGTGGCCATGGCTGGAGGGGACTTTGAGGACCTGGCATTGCTGGTAAGTCATCTGGGGTAGAGTCCTGCAGCTCAGAGGCAGGTTCTCAGGCCCATATACCAGTGGAACAGGATGTGTTGTGTACAGGGTGGTGCTGTGGGCATCAGCGTCCACTGGGATTGCAATCTGGACATGAAAGGCTCTGACTGCTGTCCCCAGTACTCTTTCCAGCTGCAGGAGAAGAGGTACAATTTCAGGTATGGCCCTTACTGCTGTGCTGGCTACTGCTCCTGGTCTAGTGCTCCCTCCACCTATTTCTCTGTGATCACCAGAACAGAGCACATCCAGCTCAGACTCAGGGTCTCTGCTGTGTATACAAGGATCCTGGGCTGTTCTCAGTCCTGGGCTCCACCTTACTTCCCTCACTTGCCTGTTCTCCACCTGAAGATCTTTTCCTAGCCTCTCCCAGATGACCATGTTTACCTAGAGCAAAGACACTTTTAATTTTTTAATTTCTCTATGGGATTTTATCTAAAAAACTTCCCCCAAAAAAATTCTGTAGAAAAACTCAGACTAGTAAAACAAAGATTCACATACTTCTGGTTTCTTCATTGCTGTGAAGGGACATAATGACCGTGGGAACTCTTATAAAGGAAACATCTTTGGGGCTTGCTTGCAGTTTCAGAGAGTTAGGCTATTAGCATCATGGAAGGAAGCATGGTGGAGTGCAGGCAGACATGGTACTAGAAGAGGAGAGTTCTATAGGCAGTGGAAGGAGACTGTGTGCCACACTGGGTATAGCTTGAGCATAGGAGACTTCAAAGCTCACCTTCACAATACGGCACTTCATCCAACAAGGCCACATCTACTCCAGCAAGGCCACACCTCCTAATAAATAGTGCTAGTCCCTATGGACCAAGCTTTCACACACGAGTCTATGAGGATCATTTTGATTCAAATCACCACACCGGGTTTGCTAGAATCGCCTTTTCTTTCCTTGGCAGCACGGTTTGCTAGAATTGCCTTTCCTTTCCTTGGCAGCACGAGGGATTGGACCTGAGCCTCAGAGCTATTTGAGAGTAACTATTAGATACAGGTGCTCGTCCTTCCCAACACTGTCCAGGAATGTTCCCACCACCATCCCATCGTCACCAACAACTCTGGACACTGGGTAGCAGGCCAATAGTACATGTTTGTGATTCCTAATCCCAGCCCTCAGGAGGCAGAGAAGGGAAGATTAGGAATGCAGAGCCATTCTTATAGACAATCTGAGGCAACCTGGTGAAGGAGGAGGAGGAGGAGCGAGGAGAAAAGAGAAAGGAAGAGAGGGAGGGAAGGGAGGACAGAGGTAGGAGGAGAAAGAAGGAAGTAGGAAAAAGCTATTGGTAGATTAAATTTAACATTTTGTGTTTCCCCACTGTGTTTTAGTGTTCCTGAAGTTTTAATTTTCTGATCCCAGAAGCATCCACAGATCTTAAATTACAAATATTGTCATATCGGTTAGTTTCCCAAGAGAATCCCGGGCTCTTCCTGCCAGGTAATATCATTTTATCACACAGGTGTGCACAGGTGGTCACAGGCCTACCAACTGTGAGTCACTGTGCTTGGCTCCCACTTTGTACTACCTTCTGCGGTGGGCTTCTCTGCCTTCCGGCCCTTGCTGGCACCTCTCTGCTGGGACGACTCTTCTCAGCCCGCCTCAGCACCTGCATCACTTTCTGCCCTGGTTCTGTGCTGAAAGACATCCTTGCCTCAGAGTTCCACCAGCCCTCATGGCTATCCTGCCTTCCTTCTCCCAGACCCGAGCCACCAGGATCTATCCCAGCATGCTTCATGCCCTTCTCTGACCCTCAGAAGCAGGGCTCTCCCTCCAGTCAGGCCCAGCTCAGGTTCAGGTTTTGTCCTTAAAATCTATGTGGAGCCTTAGGACTCAGAACCAGGTAGAGTCAGTGGATAATCTAGCCTGGGATGCAGCATGCAAACACTGGAGTCTTCTCTGCTATCCCCAGAACAGCCAATCACTGGTGGGCAGCCTCAGGCGTGGAGGCCCGGAGCCTGCTGAAGCTCTATGGGATCCGTTTTGACATTCTTGTCACTGGGCAGGTAAAGTTCAGACCAGGGAAGGGATTTGTGGAGGTTTGGGAGGACAGCCACAGCCCGAGAGGTTCATCCCAGATCTCTCAGGCAGGGAAGTTTGCGCTCATCCCTACGGCCATCACACTGGGCACAGGAGCAGCTTGGCTGGGCGTGGTGAGTTTAACCACCTAAGGTTCTCTTTGGCTGCAGTAACCACCAGCTAGAGCCTGCTGGCACCCACTAGATCTGCATATTGTTTCTTGGGCGGGGGCTTGGCTGGTGGAGGGAGGGCAAGTTGAGAACTCTGCCTCTTCCAGGTCACCTTCCTCTGTGACCTGCTGCTATTGTATGTGGATAGAGAGGCCAGTTTCTACTGGAGGACCAAGTATGAAGAGGTGAGTTGTGGGCCTTTTTGTGTCCCAGAGCTGAGGTCACCCTGTCTGAATACTGGGTTCTACCACACTTTGGGGGATGCTAGCTTGATTCCTAATCTGTTGTTGTAGGCAAGAGCCCCGAAGGCAACTACCAACAATGACTGAGCTGGCTTTCTCACCTGCTGACCCTGCTGCCTAAGTGTTTTAGGAGTGGTTGGCACCTGCTCCATGCTCCTGCTGTTGGGAGCCAGGCATCCATGCAGCAGTGGCCTGTCTGGATAACTGTCACACATTGGCCTGTCCATTCCTGAGGTTTACACTCTCTCCCTGCTGGAGAGTTCAGGGCTTGGGAAGGAGGAGGGTTCTGGCTTGGGAATATCGAGGACAAAGCTTCAGCAGGACTGGAAAGGGGGTCGGGGTAATTCTACCAGACTCTGCATGCAGACTCCCTCCTAGGTTCAGCTTGGGGTGGGGGCACACAATGTGTCTGAATGAGTGGTGGCTGGTGTTCTTGGAACTTCCTATATGTCTGCTAGGGGACTCTGCCATCCAGTTCAAGCTCCCCCTTGCACTAACCCCCCCCACCCCGGCCCTGGCTACCAGGTTTCTCAGGAGCCTAAGGTGTGAGAGGCTGCACAGCTAGGATTTACTGCATCAAGTCAGTCCCGGCCACCTCAGCATACTCTGAAGCACCTGCCTCTGGCCCCAGCCAGAGTGCCATAGTTTTGAGGTATGTTCTTCATGAAGGACACTGAGGTTCCTTAGAGATGACTGGTTCTGGATCTGTGAGGCCTTGATTCTTCCCTTAGTGAGATTTCCCCATGTGCCAGAGCCCATAGAAAGGATGGCAAGGACAGGCTGCAGAAACTTTCTTGGTCCCAGTGTGGGGCACAGTTTAGGAAGTGTGCATCCTGGGAAGTAAAGAAGAAGTTTTGTTGTGGATGTGTGGTCACCAAGGGAATGCCAAGGCTGAGTTGAAGACAGCAGCACCAGCTGGGATCTCCAGGCTTCCACAGCCTCCAAAAAGCTTTTGGAATCCTAGTGCCTCTCAGCCCGGGCTGTGGCCTGCAAAGGGCTGGTGTGGGAAGGCGTGGCTCCTGGAGGTGGTTCACATGGACAGAGTAGTTCTGGGAGAAGGGGGATCCACAGAACCCTGATATCACTGCTGAAGTAAAGCTTGCCAATGCTGCTTAGCTTTCTGTGTAGTTCTTAAAGGGAGGAACGAGAAAAGGGAGATGGCCACCTTAGACAGAGCCCAGCCATGGGGACCCCAGTCTATACCTAGGGCTTTCTCCCTCTCTGAACTGTAGCCGCACAGCCACCTGGAAGTAGTGGCTGCAGGCCCAAGTGCCTGTGCATCCACGCCTACCCAAGTGTACCACTAATGTAATCCAAGCCCACTTCCCACGGTTGCCCCAGAGATAAACCCAAGGGCTTCATCTGAAAACATTTCTAGGGTATACAGAGACAATAAGAGAGTGAGCTGTGGCCAGGAGCCTGAACTTGGAAACATTGGTTAACTCAGCCTGTACACAGTGTGTACTGCAAGGGTGACTGCCTGGGTGTTCAGGAATGGGCTGGGGAGAGTGTCTTGGGGGCATGTGCTTGTTCAGTGCATTTCGATGTCCCTAGGCAGACCTTGGGCACATGTTTTGAGCCCTGGGAGCCCAGGAAAGCCAAAAGATCCTGACAGCCCATGTCTTTTCGAGTTTCCTATTTTGAGTCCAGATTGTAATATATATTCCCTGCTAGAGGACATGTCAGGGATCTGGGGGCTATATGTCAGTAGTGGTATGCTTATCTAACAATCTCAAGGCCATGGTTCCCATATCAAGTACCACACACACATGCACTCACACACACACACACACTCACATATGAACACACATGTGTGCACACACATGCACACGCACACATGCACACATAACACACTCATTCACATGTATGCACACGTACACCCTTGCTGAGGACATGTCAGAAATCTGTTCCTGTCTTGTCACATGCCCCTCTTCTGTACATGAAGCTATCCCCCTCAGAGAGACTTTGGCAGGCCTTCTGTGTCTCTGCTGTGGACTAGGGACAACTGCTTGGTTCTCCAGGCAAGTGAGACCTCAGTGCTATGAAGAATACCACAGTGTACATGATAGCTGGTCACAACACTAGCTGATTAGTTATTATTCTGGGTCTCAGGAGCTAAAGCCACTTCCCTGCCCACTCTGCCCCACTTGCCCAGGAATCCAGAGTTAATCATAAACAGGAAGACAGTGGGCAATGAGTCCACACCAGCACTAGCCACGGCCTGTTCCATGATGAGCGAAGACTCAGTTCCTGCGTTGAGGCTCTGAGAACACTCCCAGCCCAGTTTGGGCAGGCTTCAAACCCAAGCTTTCTTGAGTAGGCAGCTGCCAATCCTTCTGGCCTCTGGGTGTTGAGGACGTGGAGACCTCTGTGAGCCAGTCTCCATGGCCAGCTACTCAGTACAACCTGACCCCTGGACTGGTGACTCGCTAGTGGGCTGTACAGTTTGCACAGTTTCCTCCAGGCTGCCGCTGGGGAAGACCACGTAGTGTGCAGTAGTCAGCTCCAATGGCTCCCTCTGGTTTTCCTTGCTGTGCCAGATGCCATAGCCAAAATACACGACAAGCCCTGCAGGTTGAGCGTGAGCATGAGGGGCAGGTCTCAGCCCCATCTGATCTCTTTGTCCTCCCCATTGTAATATACTTGGGTCCAAGCCAGTCCCCACTCACCAACCAGCAGCCAGAAGATAAAGCGTAGCCAGGTCAGGTAGCTCAGCTTCAGCATGAGGCAAATGTTGAGAAGGATGCTCAGAGCAGGAGTCAGTGGCACCAAAGGGATCTGAGGGTGCAAGGGTGAGGCTGAGCTTGGCTGTTGGATACATAAACCAGTCCAGAGGCTGACTGGAAATTCACAGAACCCTTCCTCATCTCTGGAGAGTTGGAGCCATGTGTACCCACACCATGCAGGAAGCTGGAGCAAGTAAGAATGGACAAACCTATCTCCCTAACCCCATGAGCCCATGTGCATTCTCAGGTAGCCTAAGAGGCTGGGTGAGAGGGAACAGGGAGGACTGAGAAGGAACAGTGTCAGAGAGGCATGGGGTGGGGGATGGGGCGTACCTGGAAAGTATCTTGCTTCTTTTGCTGCTGGTGAGCCCCTAGGACCAGGAGGCTGGACAGAAAGACAGCACCAGTGATGACCAGCAGCAAGACATAGCCCCACTGTGGGAGGTGCAGGTCTGAGTTCCCGAAGACCAGCACACATGCTAGAGAGATAGCTGAGGCCACCAAGATGCCAAGCGCCCAGGCCACAGCAGTTCCAGGGCTGCATCCATCCAGGAAGCCCAGGAAGGGCTTCAGGGCTGGTCGCAGCTGCCCAGGCTCAGACATTGAGGTCTGTGCAGCACCCACTAACTGTATATGGTCTGAGAAGGAGTCATACTTCTTAGCTGTGGGGCCAGGGCTGGCTAGGCCAGGGGAGCTGGGTGGAGAAGTTTTCTGGAAACGCAGCACAATGATACTGGTGGCTACAAAGGTATAGGCCAGCAGGGTGCCGATGGACAGGAACTGGACCAGTGCCTCAAGGTCCAGCAGCAGTGCCAGGAGAGCCATGAGGACGCCAAACACCAGGATTCCTACCACAGGCACCTGTGTCTGGGGGTGTACACGGGCAAAGGCCTGGAAGAAGAGCCCATCAGCAGCCATGGCATAGACAATGCGCGGCAGGGAGAAGAGGTTGCTGAGCAGGACCGTGTTCATGGCTGCAGCAGAGCACAGGGGGCAATCAGCACAGCAGATATGCTCAGAGGGGCCACTGCGAGGCTCACAGGAAGGATGCGTACTGAGGGTATTGGCTTCTCACCTCCCCCCTAGGACTGGGACACTTCTGTTCAGGCCAATTAATGAACCTTTTGAGAGCTTGAGGTCTGCCTGGCAAGGACCTGTAAGCGTGCACTCCCAGACTGATGTTCTGTGTACAATTTGTGGGGAGAAGGTCTGCCAACAAGTCTCTAAAACTTAGTGTTTTCATCAACTCATTGCACAAGTAGTAAAACTGGGGCATAAATAGAAGTATTTTGAGGAGTTTGGGGCAGGCCCCTCTACCTTGTCCCCTCCCACCCTGCCCAGAAGGGTTCCTTACCACAGATAGAGCCAACTGCCACAATGAAGCCAGCCCAGCTGTAGCCCCGCCTGTAGAAAGCATCAGCAAGTGCCGAGTCAGGGTCCAAGCTGTGCCAAGGTACCATGAGGGTTAACACAGCGGAGACCAGAATATAGGCACCAGCTGCCAGGCCAAGGGAGATGGCAATGGCCATGGGCACGGCCCACCGTGGGTTTTTGGCTTCTTCACTGGAAGCAGCAATGACATCAAAGCCCACAAAGGCATAGAAACAGGTGGCTGTGCCAGCCAGGATGCCAGAGAAGCCGAAGGGTACAAAACCACCTTCTTCTGCACTCCAGTTGTGAGGACGGGCCAGGATGAACCCCAGGACAATGATGAAAAGGATCACAATCAGACTGATGGCTGAGAATGTGTGGTTAAGCCAGGAGGAGACCCGGGCCCCGCAGGAGACAAAGGCAGAAGCCACAAGTAAAATGCCAGCAGCCAGAAAATCTGGATAGTGGGCCAGGAAGGGCACCTGCCAGACACCCATGTAAGACTCTGTGAAGTTTCGAATACTGTGGTTAAAGATGGCATCCAAATAGCCACTCCAGGCGCGGGCCACAGCGGCACCTCCAATGAGGTATTCCAGAAGCACATTCCAGCCTATGAGGAATGCCCATATTTCCCCCATGGACACGTAAGTGAATAGATATGCAGAGCCAGTACGGGGCACACGGGCTCCAAACTCTGCATAGCATAGGGCTGCCAGCAGGGAGGCTACAGCAGCCACTAAAAAGGACAAGAGCACAGCAGGGCCAGCCATGTCCTTGGCCACTGTGCCTGTGAGCACATAGAGCCCAGATCCCACCATGCCGCCCACACCCAGTAGGGTCAAGTCCAGTGTGGACAGGCAGCGCCGCAGTGATGTCTCCATGCTAGACTCTTCTAGCGGCTTCAGACGGTTCAGTTTCCGGCAGAAGTGTGCCACACGGGCAGTGCTGGGCAATCCCCGGGCCATGGCAGACAGAGAGTACTGAGCCAGC